GTATAGGTCTTCTGGACGGGTTCTTCTCTAATGAAACGTTTTGTCTCTCCTCCAAGAGACTTCTTCAGTCTGAGAGTTTCAGGCAAAATTCAGGCTTTTGGATTTTGTGAAGAAAGACCGTCCATCATTAAACAGAGGTGGAGGCCTCCGTTTTCAGTTGTCCCCCTCCTACAGTGCTGCTATTGCCAGTATCACTCCACCCCCTGTTAACAATAGGTGTTAATTAGGTGTCAATGATAATCAGGACATTTTGAACGATACTTTGTGAAATGGCCAGTCAGGATTTATTGCAATTGCAAGACACACATCATGTCACACAGGGCAGTGGTACATGGAATGTGTGCCCTGAGGCAGTTTCAAATACACTCATTTATACAGAATGTTATCCAAACAGACAATAAACATCTCTCTTGGTGCCAAAACTGGGTCAAGGAGAGAATGATGTTTGATAAACAGCAACAAGAATGATTACTTGTAAACAGATATTGTCCTGGTTGTAAAACACTTTATCTGAGAGAAAACAGAGGATAAAGAGTAAAATCATAAAACATGATGAAATTTTAAGGTACGCAAAAGAGGTCACTGACTCTTGACCTGAGAAGTATGTGGGACTTTAGTGGGGCAAGTTATTTTTCCAAGACAATTACAATTAAATGAGCCATTTTTGCCCTTTGGTTCACTAACAAAATGTGTCCGGAGCTGCGAAATGTGCTGTGAATATCAACTGGTGGTCTGTGGGCCACTTTGAGTTTGTTGAAGGGAGGACTTGTTTTGGCCTGACATTATAAAGCTAAAAATATATGGTGGATTTTAAGATTTATTATTTTTACACTTTAGGACAAAAGAAAAGACTGCATGTAAACAAGAAAAATAGTTTAAACCAAATTGTATATGAATAAAAAAAAACTGAATTATGCAGGTGTAGGTATTTTTCCTCTCTTGTTCTTATTATCTAATCAACTTAGCATTTTTTTTATCTTACTGGAATTAAAGGTATTCAAAAAAAGATAGATCAAAGGATCATACTGTAAGGCTGTTATTTGAATTATTAAAGCGGCCAACAAAAAACTAGCATGATCTAATCAACGTTTCAAAGACCCACACAGGGCCCCAGAGCCACAGGTTGCAGGCCCCTGAACTAGAGCTGTTGCCCACAGCTGAGGGTTCCTGTCAGCAAAATATCAGATGAAACACTGAATGAATTTGAACAAAAAGCTCAGAAAGTAATTGTGATCTGGGAGTAAACCGAACTCAAGATGGCTACAACTAAACAAACGTGTGTCACACATAAATGCCTCTGACTCAGTCAAGTTTACAGAATCTGCTCTGTTAGCAGCTGAGAGTCCTCCTCAACACAGACTAAAGATAACTGATCAGATCAGATGAGTAACACCATGTATAAGTTTTAAACAAAACAGCTGCAACTCCGTCTCATCTCATCAAAAAATGATCTTAGTTTACAACTTTGGTGTAAAGCAACAAAGTATAATAGTACTTTGGTTATCTGTACTTGACTTGGGTAATTATTTTACAACTTTTTACATTTTAAAAATAGCCTCCTTACTCCTATTTCATTACGGCTTGTTATTGTTTGCTTCCCAGACAGAGCGAGTTATTTATCTGTGGTTGGATGAGAAGCATAAATACACAATCTGACACGCTATTGGCTGGACAATCCATCACATTACACAATGACGTCACACTTCAGCAGGACACATCAGAAGCTTGTATCCATGAGGATGACAGTGTAGATTATCACAAATTGTTCATCACTAACATTCTATTCAATTTAGTAGTCATTGGTGTTTAGAAAAATGTTTTTAGTGAGGTCACCTCCCAATAAAATAAATTTTAGACATTTTAACCAGTCATCTTTAATCAATACTTGTACTTTTACTTAAGTATTTTATATCTGAAACTTATTTTGGTTGAGTACAGTAAGATTAAGATACTTTCAGACTCTTACTCAATTAATAATGTTAGATGAGACTAACGTTTACCAAAGTGATTTTATGGTAAGATACTTGTACTTTCACTCTGATGTACTTTATACAACACATGATGTTATTTTGGTTTTAAGCCATGCAGGTGACATTTTTGGAAAACTTAATCTCTTTCCATGAAAATGGAGTGGAAAAATAAGAAAAAAAAAGATTTCCACAGTTTTTTTTTATTTCAAAACATCTATCACTGCCAATGAGGTTGTGTTTTTATCCGTTTTTGCTGTTAGGAAAAAAAAAAGAGATTGGTTTTCTGGTTCAGATTTATGGTAATTTTGAACATTTTTAACCTTTTTAGGAAGTTCTGCAGTTGTGTAAATCCACACATGTTCAGCAGACAGCACAGCTCTGACAGCAGTGGGTTTATTGTCTGTGTTTTTAACCCCTGAACTGTCAGTGGTTGTCTCATATTTGAATTATGGACTTATTTGTATCCAGAGCATCACAGATTCTGTTAAGAGCTTTAAATTTAAACAGCACTGTGTCAAAATATCTATAACTCATCGAGCAAAGGTTTGTGATAGTAGCTGAGTGATCCCTAGTGTACTTCAGCGTTAAGTGATGTTCAGCTAAAATTTGATCTGGTAGTAGCTGAGAGTCCTTCACAACATCCTGTGAGTGCATAACATTTTTGTCTTTAATTTTCAATACTTTCTGAATTTACTACATTTGATGCTGTAAAATGTCTAAACCTGTTTTTTAAAAACATTGAATTGTAGGTATTTGAAGGAAACCAGAATCCAGAGACTCCGGTTCTTGGGCTCCTTCCAGTTCCCACCGTGGCCCGCTTCATTCGCATCAACCCCCAGACCTGGTACTCCAATGGGACCATCTGCCTCAGGGCTGAGATTCTTGGCTGCAGTGTTGACGGTGAGCAGACTTACAGAGTGTGTAACAGTTAGTCATCATTTCAAGACGTTACTTTCGAAACAGCACATTTAATTAATGTTTCTGTGAGTCAAAAACAAAGGCACTTACAAAAGTCTTATTTTATGTTTTTTTCCTAGATCCAGCAGACATTTATGAAGAAAAAAGATCAAAAGATGAGCTGGAATTCAAACACCACAACTACAAAGAGATGAGGAAGGTTAGAACATGATGAGTCACAGAGTCCATAAAGCTGACACCAGGAGTTTACTCATAAGTTTACAGATTTACTCAGAGTCAACCTCCTACATTGGGGCTGCAGGATCACATGCGGCTCTTAGTAACAATAAGAAGAAAAGGAATGTTACTGGTAGTCGTAACCACCATGGAAAAGGTTAGCTGAGACCGCCTCAGGGTTTGCCTCGCCCCCTCGCATACAGGGAGCTAGGCTTATTTGTAAGGGGTGGCACACCCCTGGCCAAGGTGTTCTTTTAGAGGGTCCATACAAGTAACAAAAGCACTYCGAAATCAAAAATTAAAAATGGCCACCACAGCTAATTTCAAATGGCTTCAATTCATCTGCTTTTAAGAAATAATGAACTGAAATTTTGTGTGATATAACAAATATATTTATCTATTTTTATTTATTTATCACTGTTTAGCCAGGCAAATCCCAATGAGATCACAGATCACGTTTTTTTCAAGGGTGGCCTGGGCCTGAAGGCAACCTGTTGTACATGTTCTTGTGTTGTGCAAAAAAAACGGAGTACCCAGAGAAAACCCACACAAGCACGAGTAGAACATGCAACTCCACACAGAAAGACCCCAGGTCTAAACAAGGGATCGGACCTAGGATCTTCTTGCTGTGAGACATCAGTGCTAACCACTGAGCCGTCGTACTGCCAAAGAATGATCAAAAAAAAAAATCCTGAATGCTGAAACTCGTTATTCAGCTATTTTTTAAACATACAAAGCTGAAGATTAATGTAGAAGTAGCCAAAAACAGTCTTTAGCAAATTACCAAAAATTCAAGATGGCCACCACAGCTAACTTTTAAAGCCTATAATTCAGCCATTTTAAGACATATTGAGAAACAATTTGTTGTGGAGCAGCTATGAAGGGTCACATGCTAATTGTCTATGCTAATCCCAAATTAAGCCAACCACTAATGCTAATGCTAATTTTATAAAGGGCTATGGCTGTGACCAAAACGACAGGCCGGGTCCTCCGGAGGACCCAGACTACCCGTCGAGGTGGGCCGGGTCCTTGGTAGACCGGGAAGACCGGAAAAAAAGAGTCTGTGGATTTGGACGGTCTCTAGCCTCCCCTCCACCACGGCGTTCGTCATGTCACCTAGCAACAATGATTACGCTAAACAGAAGCAAAAATAGAAAAATTTCAATATATTAGCATTATTAATATCACAAAACAATAAAATTAACTTAAAGGTAACATTTGAAGAATTAATTGACCCGCTGTAGGTGCATGTTTATTTCGCGTTTTTTATGACAAAAATAATATTTTAAAACACGTCTATACAAATGATAAAAAATATTAGAATTACAACAGCTAACTTTTAAAAAAAATGATTTAGTCATATTTTTATTTAAAACGTATCCTTTTCTCTCGCTTCGTCCCCCATTACTAGCTTTAAAAAATCTCCGGTCGGGCCGCAATGCATTATGGGATATGTTGGGACGGGAAGGATCCATCAAACTGGGGAAAAGGAAGGACGTATTTGTCGGCTGCATTGGAGGAGTCTTGGGTTTTGGACATCCTTCGTCGCGGCGCTGTGACGTATGCGGCCGACGAATTCGGCCTTCGGAGGACCCGGCCTGCTGTTTTGGACACAGCCTAAAATTCAGCAATTTTAACCATACACAGCTAAAACCTTTCTAAAGTACAAAGAACAATATTTTAACAAAGTCTAAATGCAAACACTGAATCCAAGCTCTCCACCCACTTGTCAGTTATTTGGGGGAGACCAATCAGGGGCCAGAGGTGGCACTTGCCACACCTTTGGCCCCGCCCCTGCTTGCACAGTGATGGCTAGAGATAAGCACCAGCTCCATGTGACCCGGAGCGCAAAAGTGGGTAAAAACATGGATGTATGATTAAAAAATACAAATAATGCAACAAGCATAACATATCAATCAGATGCTAATGCTTTGTTAGCATGTTAGCCGCTTTAATAAATCATCTTCCAG